TATATAATTTTTCATAGTGGAAGCACCCACTATGGCATTCAGAAAAATGCGAGACTTGGAAGATTGCGCTGTAGTGCATGGAGCTCTCATTGAGTTGAACTGTGATTTCTTCAAAATCAATAGCAAATCAATTTTTGATATTGGATTAAGATGTAAAATCAATAGAAAACAAATGCAGAGAGTTTATGACATTTTAGGGCTCTACTACACATCACTAACGGGTCATATTCCTTATAGGAAATTTATAATTTATATTAAAAATAGGATTATGGCAGCGAGCGAGGTACGAGGGATAATGTTACGAATTTCGTGAAAAAGCCAAGTTGAACGATTTTTTTTTATAGAGAGAATCCAGGCCTGGTAAGATGTTTTGCAATTCTGAGAGGGAAGCGATCGCATCTGGATCTCAAGAACAGAGTGATGTGGATTATAAGACGTATCTCGGAGATATTGAAGCATCTATGGAGTATTTTAAAACCCATTTAAATAGTTGGCGACAGAGAAGGGGATTAGTGTGATTTTTTTCGTGTCCTACCGAAAGTTTTTACACACTTTTTTTTAGTTTGTTTTTTTTATGTCCTTATTTGGTTCAATTTTTTATTAAAGCAAAAATCTCTTGTCTCAATTACATTTTCTATTTTCCATTTATGGCATTTTCAATTTCTGGGTCCGTTTTCTAATGAGTTTATTAACTTTATTGAGTTCTGTTAAAGTCCTGTTAATATACATCATTTGTTCTTTGACATTTTCTTTTTTTATTTTAATCGGATGCTTCTTCGAGAGAGACATATGCACATAAATATTCCAAATTGAATTTTTCACCTGCGAAATACCATTAAGTTTCATTTCAGTTCAGACAAGTTTTTAGGAAATTCGAAATTACTGTGTCGATTTCTCCATTTGTTTGACTGCATTATTCTTGATTTCAGTAACTAGTTCTTCAGATTCTAATGCTTTTATATTGGTATTCTCGTATCGGGCCTGTAATTTTGCTATTTGATTATTCAGGCCCATTATTACGAAATTTTTCTCTTCAATTAATTTCATCTATAAAACAAATAGAAATATTGCATATATTTATTTAATCAGTACATTAAAAATTATCTGGAATCAGTTGAAACGCGATTCTCAATCGATTCTTTCACTCTCAATTCTTCAATGTCTTTAATTTTCCTGTTAATAATCTCGAACTCTCCAATTGTTTGTTTAATAATTAACAATTGTTTTTCAACTTTATTCGTATAACACGTCTTAAGGTTCTTTCTACGACATATTTCCATGTACATTCGTCTACACGTATCTTTAATGGTAACCACATCCAATAGAATTTCAGTAGTTTCACTCTGTATATTTTGAAAAACTTTTTCCCACTTGGCGGATTCGTGTTGAGCGTGTTCGTATCTTTGTTTTGAACAATCGATACGATTATTCAATGTTGCTACTTTGACTGAATACTTCTCTATGAGGTGATTCTAAAAAATTATAAATTAACATATATAGGGTGTGTCGGTTAACGGTTATCAACTTACCTGGTGTTTTTTGTTTCTAAACATTGTGCATTTATCTACTTACAATTACCAAATTGGTGCCAATTTACAATACATATTATTGATCTACATATACATATAAATACAATTCCTTACCAAACTGCTTTTAGCCTTTTCCAATTTCATAATGTCACGCTGTTGAACGTCATTTAGTTCCTTTTTTGCTGCAACTAAAGCTTCGTATCTGAAAATCAATGAAAATCAGAAAAAAATATTCGAGGCACAGTCAAATAAAACGAATTTGAAAGTGCACTGAACAAAACATTTGAAGCTGAGAGAAGAACAATACAAAACAGTTGTTCTTCATATGTAGCAGACCTTGCTAATAATAATTGCAAATGTAAACGCGATGACAGTTTAAAAAATGGCAATTAGACTACAGAGAAAACCTACTTTTTATAATATCCTAGACAGTGGACTGAAATCGCCAATGGATTATATACATACATCATCATATCGAAAAATTTTAATAAAACTAAGTTTCCATTTCTTTCTACCCCCAATCTAAAACAATGACAAACTTACCTCATTAATAAGTCGTTAATAGTTTGCATAGATTCCTCTTTTTCGATTACTTTCAGTAAAAATTCTTCATAAATTTGATATTTGGCAATATTCTTGTCCATTTTTAACTTTGTATCTGAAATTTCCTTGCATTTCTCCATCAGTTCTTCTATCTGAATTTGCCTTTTTTCTTTTAATTGATTTTGTTCGACGATTTTTATTGCTGCCCTCTCTTTTTTCTCTTGATTTCTTTTACAAACTGAAAATTATCTTGTTCGTTAATTGCACAAATTTAATACACGAATGGGTCTCAACCTGATTAAATTTGATAAAGTTTTTCTCTCAAACTTGCTTCTTTTTGTGCTAAATCTTTCCACTGTTCTTGTACAATTTTTCTTTTGTCATGATAGTCGTTCCGTTTTGTTTCTAATTTTTTCGTTGTCTTATCTAGGGCCCTAGTATTGAATTTGCAAAAACTCAAGCAGAACACGAAATTGCATTCTACATTTATAGAATGAAAAACAGGGTTTTATAGTTATAAGCTAATTAGCTTAGACTCTAAACCTCTACAAAGTTTGACCGAACATGTATATGGGTATTTTAATGTGTAGTTGCGATTAATTTTCCGAGGTTTTGCGAATTTAAGAAGTTTGTGACCTTACGTTATTGAGGAAAAAAGTTTTCCAAACTTAGTAGTGAGCTTAAATGTTTTCAGAGACTAACAAATCAACTAATAAATTTCAACTAATAAATCCTCAATTAAATTTTTTATAACATATGTCCAAAATATACTTTTTCAATTTACTGTATCCAATGTCGTTAAGTTTTTAGTAATTGAAAGGCAGTTTTATTTGCTTTAAATGCTGTTTCCACAGAGATTTCTAATAAAAATATTAAAAAATAGAATCAGGAGATTGATTGAATAAAAGAAAGAATTTACATACTAAGAAAGTAGCCATGTTACGAGCGTCAATTATTGCTACAAAGAAAGCTTATAAACATAAAATACATACCAAAACTCAAAAGAAATATAACTTCTTTATGCAATTTCTGTGCCATAAAGTACTCTTGGCTAGAAAAATCCAGTTATGCTTATGAATTGAGTGTCAGCTAACCCTTTCTTTACTTGTTTGCGTAACGTTAATGAAAGGGTCATTTATACTTATAAAGAGTGGAGGTTTTTCTTCTTTGCCCTGAAGCGCTATGCTGCTAACCCGTTGCCTTTTTTCAACGGAATAATTATTTTACTCGTCGAGATATCTTTGTTTGCTTTGAAGTATAATTTGTACTTAAAAACATGTATTTTTTAGGAAAATTAGCTAACATTAAGAATTCCTATTAGAATAAATTAAATATGAATGTAAACATTTAATGCTTTGTGTTTTGATTAACATTGAATTAACAAATATACATATCGCGATAAATAATTCACGAAAAATAATATGGATTATGTGTTAATCTTCGGAACTAAACAATTTGAAAGATCCGTATATTCGTGCTTACACATCTCGTCAGATAAACATCATAATAAAAATATAAATAATTCGTTTAAGGAACAGGATCCACACTTCTCTTTTTCTTCTTCAATTTCATTGGAATTGGAGCAGGATTTTTGAAAATAGTACTGTAACATTAAAGATTTAATGCTTATTTAAGATTTAATGAAATTAAAATGTTTTATTTGTCTAAAATTAACTTTTCCAAAATGAAACAGTTGATACTTACTGACATGTTGTGCAAAGAGGGCTGAACTTGCAGAATACTAAAAATAAATAAAATAATATTAGTGTGATCAATTTATATCTGGTAGTATGAAAATTGAATAATACCCACTTGATAAACATACTGAACAAACAAATCCTGTATCAACAAGTACCTGATGGCAGAAACATGCAGCTCTATAATCTACTTTAACTGGTGGTGGTAGTACTAACTTTGACCTGACTGATGGATCAGGCAAAAATATCCACTGAAATAGAAATGATTATCATAAAGAAATTTGAAATTTCTTTCAATTTCTATCATTTAATGTTATGAATATACATAAAAATAGTGCAATTGAAAACTTATTATCTTTAATAATTATAAAAAATCAAGACTAATACATAAACGCCTATGTTCTCAAACTAACATACCAATAGATATTGCAACAAGCCTGCTAATGGAGGTTGCCCATTTTGTTGCGGAACCCTCAGGTAGTTACCACCAGTTAAATCACAACCTTGTTGGAGAAGAGTAAGTTCATGATCTAAACTACAAACATCTAATATAACACCCTGAAATAATACATCATAAATTTAGTTTTAAACTATGACTTTGTACTTCTGGTAAATAACAATATTTTGACACACCATTTTCTGAGAAGTAAAAAAGATATTCATATAATTCATATACTGTGTTGCAGAATCATGACTAGCAGTGATAACTAAGATTCTGGAATGTAATTTTTCACCTGCTATTTTTTCTCTTTCCATTCTAGTAATATAACACAAAGCCATAGATAAGGCACCAGATATCAAACTTTCCTCGTTACAACTTCTATCCATAGACATATCACATACCATTTTATGAATTTCTTGTCTGACAGTTCTTTCAAGTTGAGTAAATTTTTCATATTGTCCATCAAACTGCCGAATTTCTGGCATTTTGTCTTTGGGATAGAGAAACTGTGCACCTTGGCTATGACAAGCCATAATTCCAATGTGATTATTTGGTGTTTGCATTAGGTGTGCATTTGAGAAAACAATAGTTGAGTCTAAACATTGAGTCAAAATTTGTTTGACAAGCTTTTGCATGGGATTTATATCTAAAATCACAATACAGAGACTCTTATCAATTTCTGCTACTAAATCTGTAAATAAATATAGTAATTAATTCATGTTTATAATTGATTCACCTTAACGTTACTATTAATAATATTGTTTTAGGTTATTCGTATCGGAATTTTGTTTTCGACTATTTAAAAAGCAGTTTCATTACACTTATTAAAGAATAATAAATTACTCACCAGTTTCCATTGTAACGTTGTATTATTTACAAAATTATAACTACAAATAACATACGTACAAAATAAACATTCTCTATATATACTAATACTTATGCTCACTATGTATGTATTGTACATACATACATACAACTATACACAGTGTCAGTAACGTCAGAGCGCCAGAGCGGTCAGATTTTAAATCACAGAGTGTGTGCACAGGCGTATAGATGATGTCGATTGTCGAATGTGTATCTGATGGAACATTCGTTCCGTGAAGTACAAATTCACACGAAACAACAACATTACAGGAATATTCTTTCAGTGTGAAAAGGCCCGTATGAGTTTCGCAGAATTTTACTTCTTATATTAGTTCCAGTACTGTTCTTACGTTTCTCTGACGGTCGCTATTTTAACAATATCATTTCAAATTAGTGTATTATTAAAACCATTTAAAATTGATTAAAATGAGTTGTTAGGTTTAAATAGAATTTCACATAACTGTTACTATCAATTTTATTTAATAAAATTCTTAATTTTAGTTGTAAACGCAACTTATATTAGTCACGATTTTGGTTGACAATGTAGTTTTCTAGAAAAGGCGCGTTTTGCGCCGCTGGTTGATTGAAAAGGGCGCGAGCTAGATATAACTGATGCTTGGGGCCGGGAGGAGTCGTGGAGGATTGACTTTATGAATATTCCTGTGATATCAGCTCGCATTAATTTTCCTGTAAACGTTATTCTTTTAGGCTTTTATTATTTCTAAAATAGACATCAAGTCTAAAAAAAACTGGAGAGCAGTTAATTTCGTTTACTTTAGAAAATCATTTGTACTTTCATCAGACGTAAAAATTTTGCGTAAGTGATTTAGATAGCAGGTTAAGACGCCATGTATACAATCTTCCAAGAAAATTCCAAGCTTTGTTTAGAATAGAGTATTGAACGTTGATATTTTCTTTTGTTATTCTTATGTATATTAAAACATAAATTTAATGGTTATACAACTATCTTGGTATTTCTTGATTAGTAAACAAAAAATTAATAGTCCATAGTTTTGATTGTTTTTCTGAAAGTCTGATTGTTTCAGGTTGTTCATTAAGTAGTAAGTATAAAAATGGCACTTACCATCAAAGAAGACTCTAATTCTTTCCCTTGTGCAGATGATGATGATGATGCATTATTGAATGAAGCAATTTATTGCAGTAGAAATTTAGAAATCAAAACTGATGATGATGATGAAGAAGTAGAATTAAAAAAAATCAGTAACAATGAGAAAATTAACAAGGAAGTTGAGAAACTGAAGCCATCACCTATTTTATGGTGTGACATGGAATCAGATTCATATCCTTCTGAATTATCATCATCAAATAGCAAGATTGATTTATCTAATTTAAGTGGCAAAAGTGACTTATCGTTATCAGCTAAGATGGATGTTTCAACATCAGACATAAAAAGTGAAATTTTGATTCCTGAAATCAAAGTGGATTCAGAAGGAAATGAAAAAAGAGACAAAAGTAATGGAAACCAAAATAAAATAGAAATAAAAGATTCAATTAAAAAAGAAATTGAAGATTCAACTGAAACAAAACAGGAATCAGAGAAAATAATGAATACAAGTGATGATAGTGAAAATGTTACTCCTTGTAAAAGGATAAAGCAAGAAGAGCCTAGAGAAGAAACAATGAATAGGAGTAGGCGGAATAGTGATACAAGTTGTAGTACACTATCTAATCATAGTAACAAAAAGAATGTTGAATATGAGACTGATGCAGCTGTGCTAGCTCGTAGACAAAAAGATATTGATTATGGAAAAAATACTATAGGCTATGATGTATATTCTCAACAAGTTCCAAAGTAAGGAAAATTAAATGATAACAAAAATAATAGATTTAAATTTATCCTATTAGGGTAAATGAAAATTAATCTAAATTATGTTTTCTATTTTTTCAGAGATAAACGTACTAAAGAGCATCCACGAACACCTCCAATGTATTTGAAATACAGTAGACGAGGTTGGGATGGTATGGTAAAACTGTGGCGTAAGCAACTTCATATGTGGGATCCAGAGAATGAAAAAGAAGATAAGAAAAACGAATCTTAGCAATATTGAAAATTGTTCCATTTATTCATAAGGCATCAAAATAGGTTTAAACTTTACATGTCTTTTTTCATAGTAAATTATTTACATGTTTAAACATTTTTCTCAGTATGTTATATAAATAAGTATTTTAAGAAAAGTGAATGTCATTGTAAACATTTATTTTTATAATGTCTATAAAATACTTTTGTGTTAAAAATTATTGAAGAAATGAGTATATAGCTTTATTTTTACTTCCTCGATATATATTTCTTTTATTTATCAAACTTGAAATCTTATTACAAGACTTATTCACTAAACCTCGATATATATATATATATATATATATATATATATAAACAAATTATTGTAACAAAAAAATATAATCAATTGTTTTATTCTAATTAATAAATATTCGAATCTAGTTTTATATGTTACTTAGATAATGTTAATTGGATTGAATTTAAATATACATTCTGCTGAGGTATAGATTCACTCCTTTGTTGAACCAATGTATTATTTCATATTCGACTCGCTATAAAGCTTGCAATATAATCAACAGAAATGATCAGAGTAATAATAAATTAAATTTTTTCCAAGATTACATAGAAGCTAAAAGATCGTGAGAAATTACCAAGTTTGATAAAACTACGAAAATCTTACAATTTAAAAAACTTCAATTTATTATTTATTATTAATACTCTTAATCAGGACAAACAGCGTCAGAAGTGCTAAAAAGCTATAAAATATAAAATGGAAGTAATTTGGAAAAATTAATTTTCCAAGCGCGTTTCTGCGCTTAACAGGCCTATCGCTTTTCTTTTCAGTCCTACGTCTTGCATTTTTTTCTTTCCAGTAATTAATCAGGATAAGCAACTATTTATTAAATATTAAACCAACTAAGAAAAAGTAATATATTTCAGACGGCTTACTTCAATTTGAAAATTTCGAAAGAATATAATTTAATATATATCCCTTTCTCAATTTTTTAAATCATTTTGATTGACTTCTGACGGTTGAAAAATAGTTATTGTTGAAAAATAATTGTGTAGTCCAAGATTTTAATTCTGTTAAATTGTTGCAGAAGGCAAATAAATCATGTACGGTAAGAATTTTAATCGAAAAAAAAGCGATAAGTAAATTAAGGGCGGACTCTTGGAATATTAATTTTTCGGCACCGTTTTCATTTATATTGCATTATTCTGATGATACTGTAGATATTGTTTGTACTAATGATTAACGCAATAGTACCAAATGACAAACAATTTTTATAATATGTAAGTTGTCCAATATTTTACAAAATCTAGTAGCTTCCAGCGACACTATTTTTTTACGTATTCTTTTGACGTCACTTTAGCAAAGTATAAGAAGTTCTGTATTCGACGTGAATTATTATTTTCTTATGATATACTTGAATATCTCTCTGAAACAATTCAACCTATTTTGATTTTTCGTAAGTGGACTCATTTGAAAGGGTGTGCTAGTGAGTTGGTTTCATTTTCATATTGATTTGATTTAAGTACAATTTTGCGAACAATTGCAAACAAATCAAGTTGAAGGAAGTCTAGGCAGGTCGTTTATATTCTTTCTTTTGTTACTAATACATAAGAACACTGTATCAATGAACTTAAGTTCATTTATTTAAAAAAATATATTCTTCATTATCTTCAACATAGCTAATTATAAATCACACATAATATTTTTATTGATTTTTTTAAAATTTCAGTTGTTTCTTTTGTTTAACAGGAATATCAAACAGTTATTTCTTTGAAGTGGATTGTACATATTCTTTATAAAGTTTATTAATATCTAACTTCAGTAAAAAAAATTTATAATTTTTGACGACCTACACATTTTACGAAAAAATTATACGAGACCTTTTCGTTATAATCTTTTTGTTGTATAATAGACTAGATCGACAAACTATTTTTTCATATATTATTTAAAAAATTGCGTTCTTTGAAAATACTAGTAGTGGATTCAGATTCAAATTTATATATACACTGGTTTATATAGTACCAAATTATTGCATTTTATTTGTTGTGAAATGCCTTTCTTTCATTTATGCAATGATTTTACTTATTTAACTAATTTAAGTGAAAACAGCAACTTATAATTGTTACCCAAAATGAATTTTCAGATGTAAAAGATGAGATTTTAATTCTTTAAATAAAAGTGAATTTGATAGATAATGAAAAGAGACAAAAATAATAGAAAACAAAAATAAAATAAAATAAAAATGAAAAATTCAATTGAAAACAAATTAAAGATTCAACTAAAATAATAAGAGAATCAGAGAAAATAATGAATACATTTAGTGATGATAGTAAACATATTACTACATGTAAAGGGATAGGTAAGAGGACTCAAGAGATAATAAGGGATGTGAGAGTAAACTTGTAGTAAATAATAATATTTAAGCTTGAATAGATTAAATTAAATATTTTTCATATAACATCATACAAATAAGCATTTTAACAAAAGTGAATATTAATGTAAATATTTATTGTTGTAGTGTCCATTCAAAATACTTTGTATTAAATATTACTGAGAAACTGTGTACATAACTTTATTTTCACTTTGTAGATAAAAATGTTTTAAAAAACTTAACAACTTATCAATTTTTTTATTAGGATTCTAGTTTCAGTAGAATATCTAATTTCTGATTTATGATTCTATTCATTGACTCAATTTTTGCCATCAGTCTTTTTTCCATATTAGTAAACTGTTCGTCTATATATTTTTTCAATTCAGAGTTAACAGTTATGGAAGTACCATTACATTCTGACCTTTTATCTACTTCACTAGTATTACTCGACCTATTATTCCCCTGAATTCTATTTGAACTATTTGAACTCCAGCCCGCCATACCCCAGCTTTGAAAGCGGGTATTTATGTCATCTCCAGAAGAATTAGAATCTCCACTAGTAAAAGACTCCAAAACTTTTTTTGCCATTTCAATCCTTTCAGGCCTGATTCGAGGTGTATTACTCAAGTAATTGTTAATCACATCAAAATCAAAATGGTTTTTAGAATTTTCTGATAATGGCTCTGTTAAAGTGAGTCTTATTCCATATATCCACATTGTATCTTTATTTTTGGTTCTAGTAAACTAAAACAATAACGAATAAAATTTTTTAAATTATTAAGATTTCTTAAATTATTTAAATGTCAAAGTTCTCAAAAAATTTAAATTAACTTAAATATGGATATGAAAGCCATAAACCATAATATTTACCTTTATACTTGCTTCTGTTGACGGAGGTTGAATTATAGATTCAGCAATATATACTGCATGATCTTGAAACTCATCAACAAACTCTGCAAAAATGGTATTAGCATATTCTCCAGATTGTTTAAAAAGTTCTAATACTGATGCTTCAGAAACTACTGCAATACGAGCAATTTTTTGTTTGTTTGTCACTTGAAAATCTACCTTGCATGATTCTCCTGATGGATCTGCTTTCAATGCTACACAAGTATCTAATGATACTACATCTTCAAGATTTATCCTTTTAAAAAACAGAAACAAAAACATGTTATAAATAAATAATAGTATATAGTTATGCAGAATGAAATATTTAATAGAAAACTTACTTTTCTGAAGCTTGCAAAACTGATACAGTTGATACACTGTCTTCTAAAATTTTACCATTATTTATTTCCCAACTAGATGATATTTTGACAAATAAATTTTCATGTTTTTTTATTAAAACATCATCGGTAATTGTTGATTCTTTGCCATCACAATCAAATTCCATGATGTACGAAAATACTTTGTAAAGCGGTCTTTTATAAATAATTTATGCTCTGATAAACATATATACTTATTATTGTAACCTTTCTTAGCAATGTTCTTCACTAACAACGATTAATTTCGATACTGTGTATATGAAAAATTAAAAAAATATATGTAAACTGCGAAATGCATCAGTAGCGTATAACAATGGCCGCAGAAGCAGTGTTCGGCTTCGATGGATTCGATGGTTTATATATCGAAAAAAAATAAAGGGCTCCTTGCAGCTGACTTCAGTTTGTACACTCATCCAGATAAGATCCGTCATCCGAGAGTCAGAATACCGTACGGTATTTATTACCACAGGGGGCCTATTCTGAAAAAAAATTTTAGCACATGTCATAAGCATTTATCACATCTAAAGTGATTAATTCTGTGGTAAACTGAAGTGACAAACTGATTTACCACAAAATTTTTTTTCAGAATAGGCCCCCAGGTCCACAGTCCGCTGTTTCGTTGTGTTTGAATTCTGTATTAGCACCATGGAGACTGTATACAGTCTTCATGATTAGCACTGAAAATTACACGAGTAAGGTTAAGTTATCATGTGTTTTTTCGGCATGCCGCAGTGTAATTAGCTGAGTTCCACATGTTTGAAAGATATATAAGAGACGCTCTTTATAACAAAAATTATTGTGATATTTGTGATATTATCGAATGATAGTCCAATGAACAATGTCTTTGAAAGAAGCTAAAGAAAAATTCAAAGCTCTGTTTGCATCTGTTGACAAGAAGAACAAAGTCAAGTTCATCGACTTTGTCTATGAACAATTAGTATCTTGCAATAATTTAGGGGAACCCTATGAAGATGGTAAGTAACTGCTTACAGGTATTATAGTACTAATTTCATACTTCGTTTACAAATATTATTGTTTTTTTATTTAGAGGATTCTGAAAAACATGAAGGTTTATTGGATGATCCTATATCTACATTAAATAATATTGCTGAAGAGATAAAGAAAAAAGTTCCAGTGAGTGCTATTCTTTCATCAGAAAAAATTTCACCACCAAAAACTGGACAGGTAGAATTTTTTTATTATAAATACTTTTGCTAAATCACAATAACTTTAACCTATATATTTTCTAAAATAATTTAAATTTACAGAATGCTGATTGTCTTTCTGATATAACAGTGCATGTTGATGAGTTTTTGTATGATGATGATGATATTGAAGATCTTGCAGAGGATGGCAAACTCAAGAGAAATTATTGCATGGACTGTGGATCGAAAAATATTGAACCTTTGAGTAATTCAGCATTATTTAAACCCATTTCTTATTTCATACAATTATTAAATTACTATTTTACTTTTAAGTATTCATATCTCACTCCATGTCAAGAAAATCAGTATACTATGTGTTCAATGACTGCCTGCCCACATTGGAAAACAAAATTGTATTAGACGTTGGGTCCAGATTAGGAGTTGTTTTATATGGAGTAAGTCAGATGTACTCGTTTTATTAAAATAAAATTTTAATTGCTAAGTCACACTAAACTTACGCAAATGAATTTGTATAGGCTTACGTCCTTACCGATGCGTCGCAAATAATCGGCGTAGAAATGAACGAGGATCTGTGCAAGCTGCAACGTGAAATAATCGAAAAATATAAGATGCAAGATAGGATAGAAGTCATGTGCAAAAAAATCGAAGAGTCCGATGATGTTGTCAAAAGTGCCGACGTGATCGTCATAAATAACGCGTTTGAGTTCTACGTAACGGACGAGAAGCAAGTCGAGATATGGCAGTTTCTCAAAAGTAATATCAAAAGCAAATGTATTTTGGTGACACGGCCACATCTCGAGACGACGTTCGAAAATCTCGATACCGGTATTAATTTGAAAACCTGGGTGAAACCTTACAGGTTGAATGGCGAAGAAATCGCTACTTCCAACGAGGAAGAATTCTGTGATCTCAATTTCTACGAGATTTTATAATTGTCATACGGTATTCACACACAGCCGCATACGTATCATGTTATAGTCGTATGATCGTCAGTTTATACACACATATATATATATATATATATAATATATATATATATATATATACAAAATGTAGTTTAAAAAATGAGTACAGTATAATGGATATCTGGCATCTTACATCTCACAATAAAAATAATAAATAAATAATCAGATAGTCGAGTACAAAGAAAAACATGTAATGATAGATTTCAACTGTCAATTAATTGTATCAAGAATGAATACTAAAACGATATCTACGTTGTAATTCATTTAGCATAAATGATGATAAACCGATGTAAAAATACTTCGCAATTAGTTGCATTCTGTGAATTATTTTAAAGTGATCAATTAGACTGCATATGTTTCTATTGTGCGAAGTTTTGAAAGAATAACTAGGATTAATAGTTGAGTTTATTTACGTTATTCTATTGTACTTTTGATCTCTGTGTATTATCACGATAACAAATATTATAAAACAAGTAAAGCTCTTTACTGTGGTTACATGAGTGAACTGTTAGAGAATTTTATATGAGCACACGAAGAATGATCGTTATAATTTATCGTTTTATCTTGTTTAAGTTCGATTCAATATGAAAATTACAAATTATTATTCAATATGATGCTAGTTAACTGAACAACAAAAATATAATAGCATTAAAAAATATAGTAGCATTAAAAAAAGATTTTACGTAGAATGGTTCTATGTGAAGAATAAAATTTTTATGGATGTTTTCCATTACAATTTCACTAACAAATTATCAACTTCACAAATATATCGTGTTCAATATTTTTTCTCAATTAATTTTCAATGAATTATTTGGTAAATAGTTCACATGTTAAATAATATTTTATTTCTGAGAAAATATTCTTTTACTTTTTATGTTCAATTAATAAATAGCTTATCGAATAATAATTTCAAGAATTATCATGTTGTACAAGACTCCAAAGACTTGACATGTGTGCAAAGTGCAGCTTTCTTATAATGTACATACATATGTAAATGCATTTTGTTACATCTGAAGATAGAATGAGAGTATTTTAAGGCCTAAATTAAAATATGATTTGATAAATAGAGGCACCTTTAATTAGTAATTGATATTTACTTTTAAAAGTATCAATTCCAATAATTACTGAATTTGTATCATATATAATACTTATATATTACATATTTATAATTCATGCTGCCTGTATAAGTTATATGTAAACAAATAATGTACAGAAATGAAAATATTTTTTAATCTATTCAATTCTATGTTTATTCTCTTTCTTATAAATAAAGATTTTAGATAATAATATTCACTTCCATTTTAGAAATAGAAAATAGATTAGTCGTTTGAAGCAAAAAATGATTAGCATAATTCCAAAATACACTTCTTTTTTCGAAACGACTTACTTTTCATTCTTAATTGTCTTAAAGATACATATCAGTGTTTAATACATTGAATTTACTTTGGAATTTGCTAATAAAATTTAAATCTTTTGCATTTGTGTATATAACAAAAAATGTTTCAAAGCATAGTGAAATTTTAATTTTCGCGCTCTCATCACACGTCAACCAATACAATAGCTATAAAGGTCAGCGAGGTTTATCATTTTTTTGTCAAATTATAAAAAAAACGATTTCGATTTTTCAATTTGAAACAAAAATCATAAAAATCAGCTAACCGTTCCTCCTCCGGTGACCAGCTGGTAATTAATTTTCGTGATTCATGATGTTTTACTTACAAACTTCGAAAATAACATACTTTAATAGAGAAAACGTTACATTATTAGAGCAGTATTAATTACATCGATTGTAATTTCATAAAGACAAACTTTTTTAATCATCTTTAAAAAAAAAGTAATTAGTAAGTGCGGGTAGAAGTCAGGCATTGTGATTCGGGATACTTGCAACTTCAGGATACCGACCCCTACCGCACAGCAGTCAGTATATATAGTACAGCGCTGATCTAAGGTGGGCCACTTTGTGGGCCACAAACAAAAACATGGACGCCATCGAGATGGTGAGTTCGTCGGAGCCGAAACCAGAGGATGAGGTAATGCCGGAACAAATAGATATTTGTCGAGCATGTCTCCTCAGCAATTCTTCGATGAGAGGCCTCTTTCATAATGACAGCAACATCATGCTCTCGGAAAAAGTCATGGCTCTTACTGACGTTAAGGTTAGGAGGTTGCTTTGAGTCACTAGGTTAAATGAGCTTTATTTTTCTGATTTTTTAGCGAGCTTGTCTAACTGCTTTTCTCATTCATACGATGAGAAAACTCAAGTAGTTTTTGTTTTTTAATAGCAAGTATTTGACGTTCGCTTGTTTGTTGGCGGCGGATGATTTTCCAATATTCTTTTTTTCATTTGTTTTTATTTGATTGAATTTTTTCCTAAAAATAAATTTTGTAATTTTTATAGCCTTGTTTTTAAACAACCTAATCTAATCTTGTGGTTACTGGTAGTAATAAATAATTCATGTATCATTAGGAATCATTATGTGGTATTCGTTTGTAAAACATGTTTAAGTACTTATTTTGTTCAAGTTTTTCATTTGTGATTAATTAGATATATTTTACATAATATACCAAGAATTTTATAATAAATATTATTTTAGATCATGCCAGGAGATGGATTACCCTCTCACATTTGCTGTGATTGTTACAACAAGCTTGAATCAGCTTACAAGTTTAAATTGCAAGTTGAGCAAGCTGACACAGTATTGAGAGATAAAGTAGACTCTTTACATATGAAGGATGAATACTTTTTCAATCAAGTCAATGTTAACCTAGTTCATCATAGAAATGATGTTAGTGAAAATAGCCAGGAAAGTTTAATATTAAAAGAGCACATGGATCTATTGAGTGAAAAAATAGATGAAGAGGTACTCCAGAGTGAACATAGTGATAAGAAAGAAAATGTCATGATGGACGGTCAAATAGTAGGAACACATGATAATAAACAAGAAGGCCAGGAATTTCTCCAAAATAACAATGAAATTTCAATTGAAACCCATCAAGAATTTGGCATGGAGCAAGAGGTGCAAATCCAACAAGTACCAAATGAACAGAATAATCAATTTGAAACAGAAGAACTGCAAGATTTGATGCTCAGTGAAATAAGAGATAGAGAAGAGTTACAGAATGATTTGAATCAAGTACACCAGATGGCCCTTGATGAACACAATTATGTAGCAGACTCCCAACATTTAGAGAATGTTGCTGAAAACGATGCAACAATTGTACAGGTGAATTTTTTGTTACATTGAAATGTTAATACAACTACTTATCTAATGTTTTTTTCTAATATGATTATAATTAAATAGGAAACACAAAGTAGCACAGAAGAAATTAAGGAGGAAGAAGATTCCTTAAATGAAAAACCCGAAATCATTAGTACCCCCAATGAGGCACAACCAAATGAAGCGACGCGCCGTAGTCAGCGCAAAATAAATCAGAGGAAAGCTCGAGAAAACGATGAAGTAAATTATTTTGAAAATCTAAATCTTAGTTCAAGATTGAAACAAGTTCAAGTAGACAAGTCGGAAAAGGTTTACTTCATGTGCTTTATATGCGATAGACAATTTTTATCAAAAGATGCTCTAAGAGAGCATATGCAGACACACGAAGAACTAAGAAAAAGTTTTCCAATTGTCAAACGAACACCGGAAAAGACGCCAATTGTTCCGATAAGTCCATCCCCTCCAAAAATATCATCAAGTGGAAAACAACCAAACACTTGTCCTCATTGTGGTAAAGAGTATCTTTACGTCATATCATTCAAAAAGCACTTACAACAGCATGAAAAAGATAAAAACGAGGTCAAGGATGAAATGATGCCTCTGGAAGTATCATTTAGAGAAGATGACGATAGTCTCGATTATCACGGCTACGATGACAATCCAATTGATTATAATAATTACGAAAAAGTAAAGAGTGAAGGCGATGAAACGCAAATAAAGAATGATGCAAATATGTATGGCTTACTGAAATGTAGCGTATGCGCGGAAGCTTATGACACAATTGAAAAATTGAGAGATCATCGAATGAAACATGTCGTTGAAGGCGTACTCAGTAAACAGGATCTCGAAAATATGGCGGAAACTACTATATCAGGTAGATAGGATTATAATACATTTATTTTTTACACTTTCAAGCATATAATATTAATAAATTAATATATTATAGACTTTACGACAGATAATTCAAAGGAACAAATCATAAACAACAAACAAAGTATAAAAGATATAAAACTGCAAATTACAAAGCCAATACCTAGTCTTACCAAGTACTACTGCAAAGTCTGTCACGAATCTTTCACCAGAAAAGATCTTTTACGGAAACACTCCGAGGTTCACGGAAGCAATCTAAAAGGTCTAAAAAGGTTCAAATGTACGCAGTGCAATAAGACGTTTAACAATGAATTAACTCTTCGTAATCATCTCATTGCGACAAATCACAAGACGATAATGCAGGGGCAAGAATACGATCCTAACAAGAGGATTAAAAGATCAGCTGCTAAAGCAGCGCAGAAAATTATTGATCAGATAAAGAATTTGGACGAATCTGAGGATGAACCAGATAAAGAAATGGAGAAGGATCGCGATTTTGAAGAAAGTATAGAAATGTCGTCTGTAGTAGAAGACATTCAATTGGTATTTATAAATAGAAATAAAAGAATTCTCTAAATTACTCTATGACGTATTTATTTTTATAATTTCAGAATTTACTACATGCAACCAAGAAATCTCAACGAAACCCAAAGATTTACAGTTGTGCGACGTGTAACTTGAAATTTCCTTCGAAGCAAGCCCTAACTAAGCATATGGAGTTGCACTCAATAGATGAAAGTTCTAGTAAATCTGAATCAACAAAAAAGAAAGAAATGTCGGTTAAAAAAGAATTGGATGACGACGAAGAAGATGATGACGACTTTGAGGGTGGTCTTGATTGGCCGATGGACAGTCACGAGTGCCCTACGTGCAAAAAACAGTACAGCACAAAAAAGTCACTACTCCGTCATCAACTTTTGCACGAAGAACCAAACTTTGAGTGCGACATCTGCAATGTCAAGTTCTACAGAAAAGACAAACTAAAAGCACATTATGATAAGTGTTCGGAGAAAAATCCTGATCAAGTGCGAAAATGTAATATTTGTGGGGACATATTTGAGAATAATGAGATTCTTAGGGAGCATCGAACGAAGCATGTTATAGAAGGTATATTGTCGGAGGAAGATTTACAGGAAATCGAACCTAAACCAGATGACAACGATTGTGAGAAAGCACCAAGAAAAAGGAGGACGGATATCGTGGGACTCGAATGTCAAGAGTGCAATAAGCGTTACACTTCCAGAAAAGGATTACTGCGTCATATACAGGTGAGCATCCATTTGGTATATATTTAATTCACAGAGTAATAAGATCAACAAATAATTTTTATTTGTTCAGGTACATGAAGGCAAGAAATATCTATGCGATATTTGTCCAAAGAAATTTTACCGACGTGAGCACTTGAAATTACACGTAGCTAAGCATAATATGATCAAGCCATACAAGTGTCTGAAGTGCCCAAAGCGTTTTATCAAGGAAGAGCAAATGAAGAATCATTTACTAAAGCACGAGCGAATTACGAAAAAACCTAAAGAGTCCGACACACTAAAACGGTTCCTTTGTGAAATATGCTCGAAGAGTTTTACTCAGTCGACAACCCTCATAGCTCATTTAAGAGCTCACAACGGCATCAAACCCTACGTTTGCGAGGTTTGCTCCAGGCCGTTTACTACCAATGCTTATTTGAAGATGCATATGCGTACCCATACCCAGGAAAGACCGTATATTTGTCAGTATTGCTCGAGAGCTTTTGCCAGGGCAGATACTTTGGCAAATCATCTGACTTCTCACACTGGAGAGGCCAAGTACAGTTGTAAATACTGCCCAAAGCATTTTAGGAGGCTGAAGTCGTTAAAAGAACACGTGTTTATTCATACTGGCCAAAGGCCGTATGCTTGCCCTACCTGCGACAGGAGGTTCAACAATAACGGCAGCAGGTATGCTCATAGCAAGAGATGTAAACAAAACCTCGTCCAAGGTAGGCAAAACAATCAAATCTCTGTGCAAGAATTGTGTGCGCAAGAACAAGAGGAACAAGAAGAGCAGCAGCTACAATTAGAAGAGACGCACGAATTAAGGTTGCAACAGGCAACGATAAGTCAAGCTCAGATTATTAAGCCGCAGAACATCAAGACTATCACCTTTGCAAGACCTGGCGCGACCATCGAGCAGCCACATGTACTAACCAATCAGGACGTTTATATGCCGCTTATTTTTGTAGGCAGCGAGGAGCTGATTGCTCTGTCTGAAGGCAATAAAATTTTCACGAGTTAGGCAGAGAGAGAGACTGTGAGTTACTGTAAAAAACTGACTGTATGAATGATTCTATTTGTAATATAATATTTCCGTTAACCTTCGTTACTACATGCAATATAAGCATTTTTAGAATTTCATTCCTTGAAAATTACTTTGTATGTTAATCTAGTATGAAGGAAGTCAATATGAGTCAATAGTAATTTTTAATTATTGTTTGAACGTATATTGAAATACTAATAAAATTAATATTGGAGAAATACATTTTCGCCAAGGTGAATCCATTGAAAGCAATAAAAGTTATTCTAAATTAAATCAATTGAAAAAAATCACTCTATAAATGTAAAATTTTCGAATAATATCAAAGGCATAAATTCCTGTTGGAAACTTATAATCAGGGGTAATGCTTTTGTTAGATGTATAATACTTGTAGTATGACTGTAACATAGATAATTTTATCTTGTGAGAATGTACATGTATTAATGGTTGTGTGTGTACTCAGTAAATTTTTCGAATATGCAGAAAATATTGATAACTTTCTCAGATTTCTGTAAGTGATAATTGTAAATGTACAAAAAGAATTTGCGAAAGAAAGGATTTTATAATATTGAGAGAAAGGCAGATTATACAAAGAATAATACAAATACCAAGTAACTTGATTATTTTGAAAAATGTATAAGTGTGGAGTATATTAATTAGTCTTCACATAAACTATATTAACTCATAAATCCATTACATTTTTTACTAAAATAATATTATATAAACAAAATAATATGACTGAAACAATTTCCCTGGCTCTATAGAAATTTTAATCCACCGCAATTTTTATAAATCAATGTAATAAGTAAATTCAGAAAAACATTTTCTATATTAATCTGAAATATAACAACCCCTATTTTTTTCTATAAAAATATTGTTGCGCATTAAATCAAGCTTTATTGCTTTTTTATATATTATGAAAACTTTACATTGTTCAACGTTTGATATATTAGATCATTTCAACCGATTTCTTGATTTTTATTTTTATTTTTTTCCAGTTTCAAATACACAGATGCAATAATCGGTGGATCATAACTTACGCTAATAAGTTCTTAATACTACTAACTTACGCTAGTAGTGCGACTAAAAAATTATGTTACATATTTGCAGTAGTAGTTTTATAACCAAGTTAATTTGTATGAATGTAACATATATTGGTATGATTTATTATTTTATATTTAGTAAAATGATTTGTACTCCTGAAAATACCAGTTAAAATGTAAATTTTTCAATACTTTCTAATGCAATAAAAACTATATTGCACGTCTATTTTAAAAATATTTTACTAAAAAACACATTCATTTTATCAAACTTATAAACATTATTTAATGTTATATTAAAATATATTTATTAAAAAAATTTTCAAAATAAAATGAAAACTAAGTACATTGTACGTATTAACAATTAAAAATAAAATGTAAATAACATGTGTATTTAGCTTGTGAGATTGCTCCAAATTTCATCAAAACACATACACGTGGTCAACTTGATAAGAAATCTGTAGAATCAGCTGATTGGAACATGTGTGCGCGCGACGACCGCGAGTAAAAATGAAAAACCGAGACTTGTGAGGTTTCACTAAATTTTAATGTTATATTTAACGATTTTTACGTGGATTCGGATGATAAATTAGTCGTAATTGTAAATTGTAAATTGTAGAACTATATTAATAAATATGTTTAACGTAATTAGAAATTTGGCAACAGCCGTCGGCAGAAGAAATGGAAGAACTAATTCAAAAAAATCAAAACCAAAATTTATGAAAAAACAGAAATTAAAAGTATTGCCAAGTAAGTACAAATTTCATAGAATAAAATCCGTCAAAAGATGTACAAAATATCGCTTTATTTTTGTAAAAATATTCTAACTTCTTTCATAATTAACCTCCAAATTTTAATACAAAATTATTTTGATTATGTTAAAAACATTAATAAATCAATAAATAAAAAAGATGTCATGCAATTTCCAGTTTACAAGTATCCTACAAGCAAACCTGGAACACACCGTGTTTATGTATGGGGATTGCAAGAACATGGTGCACTTGGTACTGTCAAGCGAATTTCTTTTGCTGAAGAGAGTGTGGCATATGCTGGATTTCCTCACCGATTATCATTTGGTGAATACAATGATGTTACTGACATTGCCACTGGATACGGGTTCACAGCTTTTGCTGTCAAATCCAAAGATCATAAAATTGTCTATGGTAGTGGAATCAATTCTGACTCACAATTAGGTAAACATGTATTATTATTAACTGTAAACTAATTGCTCAACTAAAATATTTAATTTTGAAAACTTTATTTCCAGGATATCATCCAAAAGATGAAAAGTTGAAAATTCCAATTGTCAATGAGCCAAGACCAGTATTCATACCATTAAAAAATAAGACAACCAAAGTATTAGGACTTGCAGCTGGCAGAGCACACCTTCTTATACTAACAGATGAAGGACTTTATACTGTGGGAAACAATGGCTATGGACAATGTGGACGACCAATAATTATCAATGAAAATTATTTAAAAAGTAGAGCTATTCATTTCATACCAGACATGAAAGGAGTTAAAATGAGATCTGTTACTGCTGGACAAGATCATAGGTTTGTTATCTTATAGAACTTCAAAAAAGTAAATGTTGATAGAGGAAACTATTCATTATATGAGTGTTATTTTTTAGTATGGTTGTAACTGAAAAGGGAGAAGTATATGCCTTTGGCTGGGGTGCTGATGGTCAAACTGGTCTTGCGCACTATCGTAATGAATACAAACCTTCACTGGTAAAAGGAGATCTGGCTGGTGAAAATATTGTCAAACTGACATGTACTGCTGATTGTGTTTTAGCTCTTTCTGGTTTGTTTGGATTTTTCATATAAAAATGAAACAGTAAATTTTCTTGACTGTCAGTATAATTTTACAGATAAAGGTACCGTGTTTGGTTGGGGAAACTCTGAATACTCACAATTACCAGCAATTGGTGATAGCCAACAAATAAATATAGCAACTGAAATAAAAATGTGCAGTGGTCTTGGTCAAATTGTGGACATTGCGTCTGGTGGGAGCTTTTGTATGGTTCTAAATAGTGAGTTTAAAATATTTCTGATTAATACTTGCATAGAAGCAATTTTATTCAATGTTATTATTTCAAAAGATGAAGGAGATGTGTTTGTGTGGGGTTATGGCATTCTTGGACTGGGACCAGAAGTTCAAAGTGTTAGAAAGCCGACGTTGATTCCGAAGACCCTCTTTGGCGTAAATGCCTTCGAACCAAATACGAAAGTATGGTTCATTCTATTTTAAAATCACACGAATATACATGACTGAAAATTATTTCAGATATTATGTTAAATTAAATTTTACAGGTAATTAAAATATTTAGCGGAATCAATCAACTAGGTGCTTTAACAAACCAGGGCAATCTGTATATGTGGGGTCGAAACAAATATGGCGCATTAGGACTTGGTCATCGAAAAGATCAATATTTCCCTTTAAAAGTGAGAATTTCAACCTTGATTTATTTGATATGTAAGTAATAGAGCACCTGAATAAGTTTAATTACATTTTTACATTTTTTAAGGTTTCCATTGGAGCAATTGTACAAAAAATTAGTTGTGGAGTTGATCATACAGTATCGCTTTGTAAACCTTATATTTGAAAAGCAAAAGTAAAAAAATAATATTTAAAATGTCAAAAGGTTTGAAGAACGTTTCAACATCACTGCAAACAACATAAAATATTGTTGCAAAAATTAAAAAATTGTACAGATATGTAAATTTAAGCTTGATTGTTTTACGTTATTTTGTATAATAAAGTATAAATATTAATTAAATACATGACAATTTTTATCCAAAACCTTAATTATTCAAAATAAATCAGAAAGTTTTCTTAATTTTGATTCACCACTGTTAAAGTTGTAAATGACGAATACTGATTATTACTGTATAGAATTGTTCAATTTCAAACCTTAGTAATGCATGCATCATTATTTTGACATCTTTACAATAGTATGTATGATCCGAATATAATTCTATTTTAAGTAATACTTCTGTATTATCATTTTCAATATATTTAAAATTCATATTACCTATGCGCGTATTTAAGTCAGTTTAGAGCAGCTAACGATGTGAGCAATCATCTATTAATAGCACACTGAACTTACATGAACGAGGAAGAAACTCTATCGATGTAAGATTATGCATTTTTTTCATAACGTAAAATTTCTTTTGATCATTAATATCTTCAACTAATTATTATCCGAACTCATATTCTCAAAATTATTAATAGGATATATTGTAATTACATCATTTTTCTTTATTAATTCATATTTGTCTGATTATTTGGTATTAATAATTGACTTATGAATGTAGCTGCTGCCTTGGCATAGTTCATAGCTGAATTAAATTTATTCCATTCTAACTTTTCTTTCAATATCTAATTTTTTCTCTTACCTTAGTCTTTCTGTTAGTAATTATTGGTGTAAATTCCAGAAATATTTCAGGCCCACGGTTGGTGTGTAGAAGCAAAATAATACAAATTATATGTTAGGGCTCAGTACTCAAAAAAGTTGATAGTGAATGTAACTAGCTTGAAACTTTAAATATCAATATATTATACAGTTTTTCCAATATTGTGATTTTATAACTTGTATTGATTTTTCATAAAATGGGTTGAGTTATTGTATGCTTTAAAGTTCGATTACGTATCGATTCGAAGCTTCTAGCTGAGCTTTTAGGGAGATATAAATTTTTAAACTGTTATCTAAAGCCTATTTTCTGAAAAATTTGGCAAAATCTCTCAAATTAATTGAAAAGTATCGAGTCTTAATAAGCTCCAAAATACAAAGGGGTCGAAAACTTGATAAGGCTTGAACAGACCCACTTTAGTGTGCTGCGATTTAATATAACTCAGCTGCAAGTTTTGGTTTAGGTTCTTGAACTATTTCAAGAATCTAATTTTCATCTAAAAACGTAGTCGAGTCTAGCGGCGCAAAATTACTTTATGACGGCCTGTGTGTAAAACTAAAACGTGTGCAAATAAAAATTTCACTTCGCCATCTAAACTTTACGATCTCATATCTAAATGTTTATATGTTGATATAACATTAATACCGTTTCTGTTATTTCACAATATTTTGAATTTTTAAATCCAATTCGAAAATTGCTTTAAAACCATATAATTACTGCGTTAATAATAAATTCATGTTTGAACAATTTTTTAGAAATTATGCTATTATCAAAATCTAAAGTCGTAATATCGTATTGTCATAAGAAATTAATTTACACAGTAAATACATATTTCGAAAAATTATATTTTCAAAAGTTTTTTTAGAAATCCCATAAGTTATGAAAACACTATTTAATGTATATTATTAATTTTCTTTTAGTGTTTTTCAAGTCGTGATAATATATGCACCTATAAAGAAAAATATGCATAAAATTTTTTTTATATACTTAATCATAAAAATACAGGTATCCAAGTATAGCTTAAAAAACTATTTATTTTTTTAACAATAGTATTTGCTTGCATGGATAACACATCATTTCCAACAAAGCTAATTAAAGTCTTTCGACTCGTCGGGATATTCTCAATGTTCAATATGTTCATATTTTACATTAGTACAGTTTTGGTGCTTGCTATATTCTCGTGTAAGTGCCAATAAATTTATTAATCGAATCGCTTCCATAAAATATACATGAATTTCTGAATATCAGCAAGGGAAGGTCAATTTAGCGCAACTGATCCACTTTACGGTGAGGTGACCCAGGTACAGAAGGGGGAATACCTATTCGTCGTGTCTATCGTTAACATAAAATTGATTAGTGATGAAGATCCATATGGGCACGTTTGCGGCGGAGCCCTCATAAAGAGCAATTTCGTATTGACAGCAGCACACTGTTACATGGAGGCGGGAGAAACCCTGGACGATTATCAGGTCTGTGCGGAATCCAATGACCTGGCCGAGTGTCGCAAAGTGGGCTTGAAAGCGTGGGAAACTTTCGATCAGTGGATCGTTAAAAAGAACAAGAGAAGTGAATTTGTCAGTAATGACATATCTTTAATACAGGCAAGTTAAATGCTCTCGATAAAGTGTTACAAAAGTTACTCTGTAACATTAATTTATACGTTTAATAACGTTTAGTTGAAAGAACACGTTAACGCTACAATAGCAAAGATGTCGCTAAAATCGCCTGAAAAGTGGATAGGCAAAAGAATCTTAACTGTTAGTTGGATGATGTTCGATGCCGTGGCTTCGAGAAACATGACGCAAGCTTTCTTACAAGTGCTTAGCCAAGATGAGTGTAGGTACAACATACAGCGAGCATTATTTGGTGTTAGACCATGCTTATTACATCTGGAGAAGAATATCATCTGTACAAATAATACACCATACGTAACGTTACATAACGTTAGTAAGCGCCCGTCTAATTCGTTTAAAAATCGATCCTTCGATAATATAATAATCGTCACCATGTTTCAGGGTGATAGTGGAATTCCAATTTTTGTTCGAAAGGTCACCAGTAAATACAGTATTGTCGGTATAAATTCTAAAAGTCGTCCACACCAAGGAATACAAAATAGAAAGTACGAACAAAATTTACATGTTAGCCTTTATTACTACTTAAAGTTTATAACAAATGTGACTGGACTCAAATTATAAAGGCAGTGTAATTTTCAATCTTATTTTATGATTTTTAATAAGAAAAATGTATTACTAGTATTTTGCTTCTGTATCACTGTATTGTTGAAAAAGATATTAAACCGCGATCAGCGTATGGGCTTGTTACTGAAGGGCTAAATAGTCTGACGATACGGATTAAGAAATCTAAAATTCCCTAATAAATGTAGCTCTATCCCAGACACTTACCGAGTTACAAACTTAACACAAATGACAGTAATTATATATTATTACGAGTGCATTTACCTAATTTTATTTATGATACATCGAGCATTATTTATCCGTTTCTTTACCAATCATGCAGCGACAATTATGCATTACATTTCTTATAAAGAAGTATCTCAAAAAAGCTGCAATGTTAATACATTTACAATTCCGCAGCGATTGCGGAAACTTGCACTTTCACTCACGTAATGAAGAAACAGCAACGAAAGGAATCTAAAAGGCATGATCTGTCGTGCAAAGGCGACAACGAACATAAAATGCGATTAAACATCATTTTGAGTGCATTTGTGCCACTAGCAGTTTCGTTATTCAAGCGAAATCTTGCCGAACGTAATGTAGCAGTGTTGGCAGACCTTTGTAGAAATTTCTAGGAAGGTGAGGGCTATACTTTTTACACGAATGTTGATTAATTCATTTATAACGCTATTTTTATTCGTTATTTTATTTACTAAATAGACGAAACATCTATTTAACGAAAAATATTGTTAGAGATATAAAAGCTACTGAAATATTAAGCTATTTTTTTTAAATATTGTATTAATATAGATCAATACAAAACATCGATGAATGTCATCCGTAAAAATTGCTTTTTTTATTAATACGTAATCAGCTTGCAATATAGTAGCATTCGTGGCACTGTATCTACTTGTTGCGCCAATCGCCGCGCGAAACATAAGAAGCGAAAATGTGCTGCACATCGATGATCGCATCGTGCATGTGACGATATTTATGATGCGCAATAAATCCTATTATTCAAGAGATTTATTCCTGAGAACGAACATTCGCTATGAAAGCAAGTGCAGCATACCGGAAGTATTCACAAGTGCGTGGAACGCACTTTGAGCGTCAAATTCGTGCTGTTTTGGCTCGATGATTACAATGGAAACAGAGAAAGGCAGATGAAATTTAATTTGGCAAAGTTGGATAGCTGTGAATATCAAACGATATACATCGATGCTCTGCTCGAAAAGTACGAAATTTACTCGAGCAGCAGTTCGCCTGATGAAACGTTCACAGTAATGAGCACTGCCAAGGTCACGATTGGTGCTGGCTGCACTTCGCGACCCGTCGTTAATACTTCGACTTCGATTTTTCTCTCGACTAGCTCAACGACGTCTGTTCTGCAAGAGCGACCAACGCGAATCACTTTATGGTCCGTCACACCGGCGATACGAGTACGCACAGAATACGTTTATGCGATGTATCAAGAGACCAGATCATTCACGAATACAGGGAGCTGCTCACCATATCGAACTACTCTTTGACAGTGAATAGTACTCACTTCACAGTTGACTGCGCTACTGAGTTTTACTGTTCGCAATTCACGAAAGACGGCGATCTAACTGTATCTTATCCCGATTCCGTCGTTCCCTCGCACCTCGTAAAAGCTATCCCAAGTAAATTTATGTTTAACATGGTGTTTGGTCTCTTCGAGGATAAAGCCTTTTCGATTTTGCCCGATCTAATTAGTAGCTGGGGTAACATATTCAAAGGGGGAAAACGGGAATCAAAACAACGACGACGAGTATTTATGGAATAAAATGTTCGACTCATTTTCTATAAAACATGGACATAGGTATGCAATGGTATGAGTAGAAAACGAGTGACGATTTTTTCGAGCATGTCATACATAATGTTTTATCGGATATTTGTGATGAATAGATCACGAAATTGTTTTTTCTATAGACGCATAATTAGACATAAGAAAAATCTATGGAACCAATGTAATTTTCATTATATATATCAACAAAGAAATACCATCCGGACGGTAATATCACTGATATCGTTAATTTATTTTAAGCCTAAAAATACATATACATTTTTCATTCGTGAACATAATAATTATTAGTTAGTTCAATCAGTAATAACAAATAAATTTTTCGACTATAAAAAGGAGATAAAATAAAGTGAAAATAAAATACCTTACCATAAATAACTGGCGCAACATTTGACTAAAGTAAATTTTGATCTATGTTTAAACTGATTTTTTTTAATTTAAATACCATATATACGTTTGCAAACTGAATGCTTTATACATTTATTTGTATTAGTATCCATATACGGACAATTAAGGATATTGAAATTCTAATGTCTACAAGAATATCAGAACGTCAACGTCCTTTTTGACTATAATATATAGTTTAAGATAAATTTGTTGTCATATCTTTGTTTGTCATAGAATTATAAACAGAAACAGAATAGAAGCGAGCAGCAATAGACAATTTTTGTGGATAGATAATGGTACACATGATTTTTGCAAAAATCATGAAACAAAAAATCATATTTGGAATATTATTTCACTTAAATAGTTAATTTTTTCATATCTAACCTGCTAAATAATTATTCAACTTTTGAAAATATATATTTTCTTATTCGCGAACAATACACTTATATTCTAGTAATTTTAATTGATATTAGGGATCTCAGGGAAAGTAATAATTCAATGCCATATGTAAATATAAATAATTCATGTTATTCTCATTAAAAAGTAATAATAATTAGTTGATATTCTTCAGTAATTCTTTATAAAAAAATAATATAAATGTCTTACATTAGCATAAAAAAATATTTTTAAATGTAACTTTTTAATCTTCTTATTTCTGCATCATCAAAAAAAAATCCGTTGTAATCTCATACTAAATATTAAGAAATATAATAGCAAACAAAATAAAAAATTAATTGGTCGAATTATTATATATATAAAAATTAAAATCCATACGATGAAATACTAATAATATAATAAAAACCTAAAATTTGTACATATATGCTACGGATTTAAGATTAAGTATTGTTCTAATATGTAAAAAAATCAATCGTTAATAAAATAAACTGCATCCATTTAAGCAGACGAATCATGGGAGGTAACTTCATACTAGCATCAATGGGTACCAAACGACCACTCCATTTGTTCAGATGAGAATTCGAACGAGGGGTACCATTACAAATAGAGGAGCGACGAATAACGCGCTAGCACTGCTCTTGCATACCAAGTTCTCGTACGATATGACGTATCTGATATCGTTCGGGTACCGACATTCATTTCGATCTGAAACAAAATGTCAATAAATGTTCATCGATTCGAACGAACATTGGATGAAACTTGTTGGTTTTTACGTACCTAAGCACTGAATTTGGCCAGTGCCGTTGGAATCCGACCCGACCGAGATATAGTAAGGCTTGCACTGATGGATGTAGCTTACGCCGTCACAATTCATCTCGATGGACTGAGTCTTGCCGGTGATGGTGTTGCAAGTGGCCCCAGCTTGAGCTGCCGACGCGTTCACGTGGAGCAGCTCGCGAGACCAGCAAACCTTCAACGGTGAGCCGCTTACGCCTTGAACCTGTATATTCATGATTTTTTTTTGAATAGCATGTCACTTTTTTTTGTTGGTTTACTTTCGTACGTACCTTCACTTTAGGTTTGTCGTCAGAACTGGTCATGAAGTAATTAGGATGTATCCTGTAGAAGTTGACTCCATTAGGTCCAACGAAGTTCGTTAACGAACGGGAATTACCGGTTTGATCGTATCTCGAACCACACTGTGTGTTAACCAGACGTCTTGGAACTGAAAATATCAGGATGATGCATTGCTATCCTTTTCAATGTTTTGTGCTGGCGAGGTACCTTGTTTGATTTTCGTGAGTATCTCGTCGATTGCGGGATTGTTCTCCATGTTTTCACTAAAGTTGATGGAAATAATGTCGCTAGAGTCCTCAACGAGATCGGTCAATCCGTCTTTTCGCTCGTAAGTTAAGAATAACACTTTGGTATCTGGTAATGCGACAGCATAATTAAACATTTAATATGATACAAAGAATAAGAAGTACGTTACGTAATTAATTCTGTAGTTATTGTTTTATCGGTATGCCGAATGAATACCACGACATTTTTTGTAAAAAAAACAATGTACAAAATATCGACTCACCGGGAATCTCCTTGCGCATATCCTCAAGAGTTTTGTAAACAAACTCGCGATCCGTAGGTGATAGATTTATATGGTAGGGCATGATGACCACAACATCTGATTTGCCATCTGAGAAACCGCGGAGCTTCTCTTTGTCGAGTTTATACTGTTCGAGTTCCTGGATTTTAGTTATAGACAGCGCCAAATCGAATCCCTTGGCGACTGTGGAACGATAAAACAGACGTTCGGTTCTTTGCAATCGCGTTATCATTCCATTCATTCGCGGATACTCACGTTGGTTATAGTTGGTGCGGTTGAAGTTGACAAAGTCCAGAAGACTGTTGCTCGAGTTGACAATGAAATTGCCGTTCTGGCCGTTCATAATGGTGAAGTTGCTGTTGTATTTGCAAACTTCCACACTACTCAGCAATTGCCTGCAAAAGCGTGTGGAGTTAAAAACGCGCATCCTTGCAGTCAAACGGAACATCAGTTGACACTCACGCGAGAACCGACTGGATGTTCTCAAAAGGCCAGTTGGTGTCGAGGACAATAGTGAGGTCCACTGCTGGTTGGCTGGTCTTAACGTTGCTCTCGAAAAACTCGCAGACGTTGTCTTTGCTCATCGTAGCTGAAATTCGATACGTCAAAAACCCTTTGGTATTTTCACTTCCTTCCACGCGCAAGGTGAAAACCAGCCGAGATACTCACGAACGAAGTCCGAAAAATCTTTGACGGCCTGCGCGCTGAAATTCTCAATCTTTTCCGGAAAGATGGTTACAGTGGCATAGCCTATGGAGCTCAGCACGATCGCGGAGCTGCAAGTCTGCGCGACGAGCATTTCCGTGGGTGCCACGTTTGGCAGCTGAGCTCGCCTGTTGCAAGCGCGAATCTGATTGTCAAGCAGTCCACGATCGCTGTAGTACATGTCCAGCACTTGGGATAAGTACAGTCCGCCGAACTTGCCGAGTGCTCTGGGTACTTCGGTAGCGAGGATCAGACCATCAATGTCGCCGCGAATCTCGGCACCGGTCATCTGTAGATCATTCTTGGTGCCGAGGAAGTAGTAGAGTGGCTGCGACGTAGAGTTCCAGTTGCCGTCGGCGCCGACGGTAAACTGACCGCGGAATTGCGGTCCTTGAGCCAGAGCTACCTCCGCCAAATCACCTGTGAGCCGATGGTCCATTGTGAATTTAACGCGCGAATTATCCACGCGAGTGTTGTGTCGTTGGCAATATCGGCGATGCGTTTATCTCGAGCCATGAATCAGCCGCGGCAATTCAAACAATACCTCTACGCGAGATTCAAATCAAAGTCGATGAACATGTTTGCCAAAACAAGGAGAACTCACCAGCAAGAGTGGACAGAAATCTGTTGTCCAGATTGGAATCGGTAGACAGCCCGCTGAACATTCGCGGCTCGACCAGCTGCTTTATCAGTTCGCTTACCCTTATGACTTGATGCGTCAAGCCAGACGCGATGCCTGCCAGCACCGAGCCACCGGAAACTGGGCCCCATCTGAAAAGATACACCGTTAAATCGACGAATTTGAATGAGAATAGCGCGCGGGCCTGCTTACTCACGGCGTCTTTAGAACTCCATTCTCGATTGGACACTCGCTGTACTGATCTTCGGTTATACGTGCGCTGGCGCTCGGATGGTTTGGTGGGAAAGCTGGGTACTCGGAGTTAGGGTCTGCTTGGTCCTTCGACATCAGCATCTCTCTGTTTTTGTCGGATATTTCTCCGTGAATTGTCTTTCGTAAAGCTCTAATATAGTCAAATGAACAAATAAACACGTTAAGCCTTACACTTGCTCGGGTGATAACGTTTCGACGTCGTCCTTAGGTCTCTTGACATGACGTCGCCATCTGCGGAACCCATAATTGTAATTCATACCATAGTTGCTGGTCTTGCAGCCTCGGTTCTCTCCACTGTGTTTGTAAACGTCGATGCTGCTCGACAGCATCGAATGCAAAGTGCACTGTCGAGGAAAAATGGTTCGCTTAAAAATTGCCGACGAAGCAATAGAACGTTTGAGCTTTACCCGTTCAACGACGGAAATGCTGTTGTTGGGAAAGGTGACTGCGTTGCCGGGTACAGTGCGTAGCGTTTGCGCGTGACGGTAGAACTGATTGCCAAGGGCCGCATACGGCATTACGCCGGCTTGTGGTTTCACGTCCGGGTTCAGCTCTATGCCGTCTTGGGAAAACCTTAAACACAACTCGTCTAGCGATAAGTTTACTCTTCTCGCCAGCGACAGACCGGTGCTTTCGTAACGATGTCTCGGAACAAATACGAGATATCAGAGTTGATCAGATAAAAGAACGATCGACGAACTGCTCGGCAAAGTCGATTACCTGTGCAAAAGCGCCGTGGATAGCTGGCGCAGGTTCATGTTGAAGTTCGCCGACTGCTCGATCTTACGCACAATGGCGATGAAGGTTTCCATGGTGTGCGGCAGCAGGTTGTACTTGCCGTAGAGCTCGTTGTCGTAGCACTCGATCAGTGACGGCGAGATGATCTTCTTCGCGTTCTCCTGGCAGCTCGTACCTGCATCGACATGTTACACATCGTCGTCGGTTTAGTCACGCTCACCTACTCGCTGACTCACGCGCGAGAATCTCTCCCGTAGAACGACAGGCCTTTTGGTCGATTCTTTTCGTTCGCACGAGAACATGCGATTCGCGTTGAAATTATGTTCGAAGACCGACATTTTTTTTTGTTTGTAAATCGATCGTCATCGTGCGCTGAGTCGTTTGAATCGAAATCAACGAGCGATCGATAGCGCAAAAAAAGGAAAATAAAAGTGACCGCTCGTTGCGAAACCACCCTTTGTCGCGTATCTCTCGCATCATCATTGATAAGTGATCGCGCTCAGACCGTTGACCTTAAATTAAGGCAAAAAAGAGTCCCAATTGTGTGATCTCTCGTCACTCCACTCACCACCAATGAAGAGCAAAAGCCCAATGGCCAAGATCTCGTATTTCGCCATAGTTATGTCTGCACTGCTCGCTTTCGTAACTGTCTCGCGCGATTATTGGATTATTCTCTACCGACAAGACACATATCACACGCGCATCGCGACTAAGACTGTAACCGCTACGCACCTTTTCATCGCTCGCGCCTACACTCACCGACGAAAAAAGTCGGCTAACCGTCGACTCTGTACGCACCTTAGATAAGATACGCGGGCGCTTATCTCGAAAAGGTGCAACCCGTGTTATCCATCTTGCTCACGCTCATTCTCTAGGTGAGCGAGTTATAGATATAACTGTACGGCTTGCGCGCGAGGCTCGTTCTCTTCTTTTTTGTTGGTTGAGCGTTCAATTTTGGGATGGGCGAGTAAAGATATTCAAGGATGAGTGGTGGGAATGATTTCATAGATTTGTCATTGGACGCGAGCATTCCAAACGATTTGTACGTTTGACGCGTGGTATATTGGCGTGAATCACTTGGGATTCGTGTAATCAAAGTGTATAACGACATTATTCCGAACTACGATACCGGCAGAAATTTCATTTTTTGCCGTTTATCAAAATTTTTTTCTCATACATCGCTATATACCAAGTGCTAGAATTTAATTGCGTGAGATAACCATTTTTCAGTCTTGTTTTTTTTTTGCAAAAGCCACACAGAAAGAGCGACAATGGCTCGACAACCGACCTCGCAGCGTTATGTTTCAAATTTACAAAAATATTCTTCTCTGACGCTGAACGCCGTTTTTGTCTTTATGTCGCTGAAGTCGCGTGAAAAAGACTCATCGGTTAATCTATTATCAAATCGCATCGCTGAACTGAGCATCCAAGTACTTTAATTGCTAATAATTGTTATGGCCGAAAACATACTGGCAACGTATAAATCAAGACGAACACTGAAATAATTTTAATTTCAATCGGAATAATGCGATCACATACGCCTCCGCAATTGATTAGTAAACATCACGAAGACACTTGCGTGCATCAGTTGAGCAAGAGAGCAGGCTTTTATGGGTTATCGCAAGCCGCCGGGAGTCCGTATCGATTTCATTAATCGCACGCGCTCGATGCACCTGCCTTTTATTATCTGATAATATCCGAGATGATGTGATAGGAAAAAACGACCTGACGGAAGTGGTGTTTCACTCTCGATTTATCATTGGTTATTATTGTGACTAAGTGCAAAGACGAGTTGTAAGCAACACGCGGAATTTTATCAATTTTTCTACGCTCAATTTCATTCTCAGACGCTCGTTGTGTGAGTGATAGTCGGTTGTGCCTTGACTTTTCTACACGCACTTCGCTATCTTTCGTTTAGTAAGTACATGACAATTCTTTTTTTAAGTTTTTGAAAACAGTAGAAGTACTTGATTTTCTCTCGATAATTATTATATAAAGGTAAATTTATGCAAATAGTCGCTGCTACGAATATTGATATACAGCTCGAGCAGATCTAAATATAGAAGCAAGTATAGCGAAATAGTGTCGCGTGGATAGTCCGTCGATATTGACCCCTATATCCTGGGGGGGGGGGGGGGGGGTCACTAGTGGTATAATTATGCAAATGCACCTTCATTATATTGATCGCGACCGATAGTTGCAAGCGAGCAAGCTGCTTGCAGCGGTGTGTCCTGTTTTCACAGGGAGTCGCGTCGGCGCCGAAACGAAGAATTCCCAAAGCAGGACTACGCGCCAGCAGTAATAAGTAGGCCAAGCGGACGATCTTCGTCGAGGCACCCGTACGCGGCGTTATCTTATCAGATAGCAGGTTTGCCATTGGTGTGGCGTTCGCGCCGAGTGTTCATGCCTCGTCTCCCGACAGATTGACGTTCGATGTCGAGCGCGAGCTTCTTCGCAGGCAGCTGAACGACGGACATGAAGGAGGAGCATGAGGGCACCGTCAACGCTGCTGCTGGGCCTCGCCATTCTCATCATAGGTGAGTAGCTTCCGTTCGTCGCTTGTGGCGATAATCACGAGCGCGAATCCCAGCGGCGCGTTATCTGTCTGTCGCGTGCTCGCAGGAGAATCAGCAGTCGAGTCTTTTCGAGCGCTGCCTAACCACTTGCGCGAATGCTACCGGGGCGACGGCTCCTTTGCGCCGAAGCTACCGCTCAACCTGAGGGCGATCCTCGACGTCCTGAGGAAGGTCGAGCGGAGGACGCGCACTTCCTTGACCATACGGACTCTGTCCGCTGCTTTGGTGAAGAGGTGCGTGTTTATCATCTCGCGTGCTCGCACGTAATCTATAGTCGAGCGCTCCGCAGGTACAAGCTCGACGGCGTGACGTACTCGGGCGAGCTACCTGCTCGCGAGGGAGTGCTGCGCTTCGCGGCGAACGGCGCCCAGCGAGCGAAGCAGCGAATCGTCCAGGAGCTGATGCCAGGTGACGACGCTCTGCTACCGGCCGACGCACTGACGCGCGACGAGCGCTGCCTGCTGCACTTCGCCATGTCCAACACCATCTGGGTCCACTCCGAGTCCCGCGAGGAAAGCTTCTGCGCTCCCGGACCGAACGAGCGATCTCTTGGTAACGTGGCTCCAGCTCGATCCAGATCCGTGCGCTCAATCGCGGCAATGGCAGACCAGTCCTTCGATCCCCGCAGCCACTTCTGTCCGAAGGAGGGGGGCGTGATACTCAGCCCCTACAACACGCTGGCCTTGGGTTCAGTTGTCTCGGCCGTCGCCGCTGCTCTGGAGCCACAACGAATCAAGCCGCGTCTGCTGCTTGACATGCCCGTCGACGAGGACGATGGCGACGTGGAGTTCGTCGTGCCCAGGGACCAGATCGACCGGTCCATGTGGCTCCAGTCGATGGCCAGCTCCGAAGTCCAGATAGACAACGTCTGGATCGCCACAATTTCCGGTAACTTTAGTCTCGAGTCTCGTCACTTCGCTCGAGCGATGATGCTTATTCGTTGTTCTGTCTCAAGGCGAACTGGCCGAACTGGTGATTTATCAGGGACCAATCTACGACGATCGCATGTACCTCGGGTCCACCGGCTTCTGGAATAGCACCATTCGTCCTCGAATCTTCTACATCTCGCACCGAACGAATAATTTCGAGCTGACGCGGGCAGAAATCGTTGGCGCCGTGGATGGTAAACGCGCACCTCACGCTATCCATCAACAACGCTCGCGTCATTCCTCTCTTTCTCTTTGCTGCAGGCCTCATCATCGCAAAAAACATGGACAGTTGGATTAGCAAGTTCGCGAATCTGCGTCTGAGCCAAGTGTTGGACATGTATTACTCGGACAAGGGCATGGTGTTTGACAGGAACGTGAAGGCCTGTCAGCGCGGGATGCAGTTCCCCCGCGTCGCGCCCAAAGTCGTCATGGAGGAACAGACGTACGCGGCGTCGCAAGTACTGGCCTATCTAAATAGTAAAGCCGCGATGACGACACAGGCCCTGCAGAGGATCGTCGCGAGAGCGGTGAACAGCTTCTCCAAATACACCGACGATTATCTATTCACGGAAGTGCAGTGTCGTGGTAGACGACGCAGGCAGAACAAAGTCGAGCTCGTCGTAGCGTTCGACGGTGCCTGGACCAGAAGCTACACCGCTGACTTTCTTGCGTGAGTTCGCCGATTCGCAGGCTGCGCGGTGTGTGACTTCAGTGTCGGCTGATCTTTCCAATATGCACAGGGCACTACTGGACGACTTCGACGTGTCAATATATGGCTCAAGAATGGGAATCATGCACGGAGAAAGCGGCCAGTGGCTGCGCAACATGACCGATAGTCCGACTGATCTCTATCGAACCATTGATCAACTATCCACATTTTCCTGTACGTATCCAGCAGCATTAAACATTCAACCCATAAGGTTTCAAAAGCATCGATTGATAATTTGCAGGGCCAAGGAAATTAGAACTAGCGGCAGTTTTTCAAAGCATTCAGAAATATCTGGACGACTCTTGGGAGCGATTAATCCAAAATCACACTGTTGCAAACTTAGGACAAGCGGTTGTTTTATTAGTGCCGAGAATAACGTTAGATACTGAGGAAACTCAACTCGCTATGACTGCTTTGAAAAAACTCAAGTCTAAACATCCAGGTAATGGAATATCACCTGCGTATTTGTGGCGCTATCTCGACACAATTCACATTTCGTTCAATAATTTTAGTTCTGTCTTCTTATAGAAACGCATTTTTTATACTACACTCATGCCTCGAAAGTCGAGATGTTGAGAAAGTTTTTATTAACAGAGGAAGATCGAATAGTGGATTCAATGGAAATTGACGACATTTCAAGAATTTTAGCTACAGGTTTGCATCGCCAATCATTAAATTTCTTAAAATGATATTCGACTAATTTTTTGTGAATGCATTACAGTACCCATGACTTTAAGATCCGCTGGCTGTAATAAAAACCTTCCCGGAGTAAGATTACAATTTGAAGATTACATATATCCTTCGGAAACAATTATTTATCGATTGCATCCTCAATGGAGAATTCGAGCCAAAAGAGTCCCAGTGACGGTTAGTTCGAGCATAATAAAAATTATGCTTTAAAAGTACTGAAACAACGATGTAATTTTATAGTTCCACGGAGTAGGGTATGGAACGATGACAGTTTGTTTGTGGAATCAACATAAGATGAACTTGAAGCAAACGGGCAAGAGATGTAAAGCTTTATCGCTGTACGGAGAAATTTCTCTCGAGAATGACTATCAATGTGAAGAAAATAATAAATGTCCCAGCACATATTTCCAAATTAAGAACGTTACGACTAATACGCGATGTGCAGGTACTTATTCAATGTCATTTTGACGTGATTTCAAGTGGCAGCCAGATTTTATTAATGTTTTATCGATTTTTCAGAGTTGGACTGTAGAACGCCAGACCAAGTGAGATTTATCGTTCGCACGGAAAGCTTTCAGTGCCTATCGACTAGCACAACGATCTATGCCAACTTATTTCTGTTAGTTACTACTGCTCTATACGTACTAAACTAAATTATTTTTTATTTACGTAAACAAAAAAACTAAGTTTTGAAAAATGTATAATTTATTATCTAACATATAAAATTAATCGTTTATACAACAATGTCTTATTTTCTTATGCCGTTAATACTAGGTAATCAATAATTATTATAAGCGTATTCATACACCAATTTTATAAGATATTGGAAGTTACTTGATGAGCCGAGAATACCGAGCTCTGATTCCGAGAGTACTGCTTCCACTGGTGGCAGCACGTCCTCAACTTTATTACCTGAAATAATAAAATTTTTTTTATTAACTACATAGCCTGTTTTAATATTATACTATGTATAGAATTTATATGAAAGTTGAATAAAATTCAAAAATTATAAATTTTTTAAATTGAATGTTTTTTTTTACACACCCATTATGTGAACGAGATCCATAAGTTTGAAAAATATCGTATTCTGTATTTGTTGTTCTGGATTTTTCGTGACTGTATCCCATTTATCACATTTTGCTGCACGTGCCCAGATTTTCGATTTTAAAGAATTTCTCTCATCATCTTGTTCGACGAATTCTAACAAGTCAAGCGCCTTTTTAAAGTCATACTCGTTGGAAATCGGACTCTCAATACATGTGTACAGCTGCAATTAACAAAATATTTAGCATCAAAGATTTCAAAGAAATAAGAGTAAATTGATACGGGAGCTTACATTTATGAGTTCAGAAGGACTAAGTACACGCAATTTTTCCACGTCATAACCATAAATTTCTAGTACAGAAATTGGAACGTCTTCTTGATGTGCTATAAGATTGAGCTCCCTGTCAATTTCAAAAATACTGGCTTGGATTTTATCTTCGGGCTCGTCTGAAGCTAGGTATGCCAGTTTTGCCATAGAAAGCATTGACTAAAAATTTAATTTTCATTAGTAATAGAACGATTCATATTGTATAACGATATTTTGCAATTGCATACCTTTTTGCGAGTGACAAGTTCAGTTTCTTCGGCAGCCAACGATTGCAGAGTTCTTGCAGAGACGCTATATTCATCTGATAAACCAGCTTGTACCCAAGACAAAACAGGATGTTGCAAAACTTTTTCTGTTAGCTCGTTGGCACCGCCTCTTCGACATCTTGCTAATAGTTGTCCTTGACGTCCATCTTTTACGTACCTACATATATATAATTTAAAAATAAAATATTCGTTTTACTTAAAAATGTTCAAAATTAATTACCAGGAGAATAAAAATCCTGCAAAGTCTTGACTAGCAAAGCGTTCCATATAATTGTCAAGACGGCCTTTGTTGTTTGTTTTTTCACAAATTTGAATTAATGAACCAAAATCACAATACTTCTCAGCGAGCATTGCTGCATTTTCATACTGTTGCTCTTTAACTGTTAAAAGAAATGAAAATGTGACAAACATTAGAATAATAGTTTGAAATATAAAACAAATAATTGACTTACTCAAAGGATGAATCAAACTTGCTCGTTCCGCCTCGTATTGTTTCAAAAGTATCTCAAATTTCTCAGTACCGCGAATACTTTCCAAGTGACATTTCCTTCCATCCAATATGAGATCAATCAAACTCACCAGCTGTTCATACAATTCATTCCGCACGTTCGCATCAATTGTGCTATTTACACCATGTTCTAATGTTAGGTTTTGCTGAAATTACAATATATATTCATTTTTAAAATTTTATTTTGGAGCATGATAAGATGTTTTAGAATAATTAAAAAACCGAACCATTGTTGTCAAGCAAGTTTTCAAACCATACTTTCCAGTGGCAGCAGTCCAAGGTAAATACTCAGTTACAGCACATATTTTAGGTGGAACGTACTTTTCTGCGTTGTATTGACGATATTTGACAACTTCATGGAGGACACCCTAATAAAAGTTATACATTAAATTGTATTTCCAATTAATGCGCATAAACGATTAATACTGTTTGTTATAACTTACCAGTACAACTGAGTTGACTTGTAAAATATACTGTGCGAGTTGTTGAGTAGGTCTCTCAGATTGCGTCTGCTCAACAGCGATTTGTACTAAATTTGGCAAGAAATGATGAACTTCGCTTACTTGTCTGTAGAAAATATCATTGGCAGTAAGATCTTCGGATACGAAAGCTTCAGGTTGTAAAGTTCGATCGATAGCTGTATCTATGATTTCCGTATATCTGGAGGGAAGACAATTAAGATTATATTAATAACTGATATCTTTAGAGATATATTTATCGTTGAAATCCAAATTTACCGTTGCTGAAGGTTATAAATTGCAAGCATTGCAACGATTTTTTCTGTAAATTCACTAAGAACATGTGATGTGGACATTATGATACTCCTATACGTAACTGCAGAGAACTAGAAAAATAAAATAATTAATTTATCCATCGTATGTCTAAAACTAGACAGATTACATTTTATTCTATAAATTTTGAGTCAAACATACTCGATTCCATAAGTTATGTTCTTTTAAGAATGATACAAAAAGGTCCATGGATTTCTGTTTTCCCTCAAGTTGATGAGGAATCTGCATAGTTAATACAGCATTCAATGTAAACGCTGTAAATACCATTGACATCAAATCATATTGTTTGACATTATATTGAAATATTTTAAAATAAACTATTTCTTACTTAAGTCTCTGTAATTCGACCACCTAGGATCATTAGCAGGATAGTCATCAATCATGTGTTTTGCTACAGCTAAAACTAAAGTATCCAGTGAGGCGTCAATATCTAAAATTGGTTCTTCTTGCATTGGAAAAAGCCCTGATAAAATTTCATCACATTGTTCCTACAGAATTGAAAATCAGTAGTCATAAAAAAGTAATGCGAAAATAATGTTTTTAAGGTTGGCGGAATAAATATACTTTATTCTGTCGAATACTCAGAAGAAAAGCAGCTTGTAACTGTTTGACAGCGTCAGAGCTGTAGAACATATTATTAATTTCCTCGTTAGTTATCAATGTCGTAAAATGCTCCTGCATCATACTACCGTTACTTTGTCCATAATCCATACTCAAATTTACATCTGAATAACTCCTGCAAACATAGTTATAAGTATATATTACATTGAAAATGAGGTATTTATTATTAATGTATATTTTTCATAATAAGTATTATGAATTAAGTAATAATGTATTTTTCATAAAAAGAGAAATAATCAAAATATTTACTGATTGAAATCTTGACTACCAAAGTCAGTCGAAGTAATTGAAACAAGACCCAAATTCTTTGTAAATAGCACTGGAGTTCCAGAACATAATGCGCCGCCAAGAATGGTATCTTCTCTTCCACGTGTTAAATCTACTTTTTCCTGTTCATACTCCGACAAGTCTATTAACAAAAATACACAAAATTATCACCGAATTTACACAGAACCACTGAAGCAAATAACGAATGTGAATAATTATACTTACTACTAATAACAATGACATCATGGTCATCATACATAATAATCTCCCAGCCGGACATGATAAAGTGGAATGAGTGAATGAACGTTTCCACTTCATTCATAGCATACACGGGTCCTGTCTTGATAGGGATGAACCATTTGAATGAGGTCGTCAGAGCTGTACCTGACAGCGGTAATAAACCAACGGCAAAATGGAGCTGCGGCGAGACGTCTGAGCATTGTGCAGCCATGAGGATGACAATGCCTTCGTCGACAGGCTGTATGTCTATCAGCCAGGTAGTTAAATTTTGAGGATTGCATGCTCCTGATTCCTGAAACCATACAATGTATTCGTGATCTGATATTATCATATTGACTTTTATACGAAAAATTAATGTTAATTTCCGCGTTCCAGCTTGCATGTCAGTATTTTTCAAAATTTAGTTATGAATGAAATCTTACCCATGATCTTCTTTGAAAAGCCTGTATTACAATATTTCCAATGTCTTCATCGAACTCCATTTTCTCTTGCTCTCCAAATGGAAAAGACCAGAGCTGAAGTGAGTTTCCAGCAAGGATTAGAGCTTTTGAGCCTCTATCATTTGCTCCAGTATGCACTACTTTTACGAGTTTCTATGACAAATCATGAATTTTAATCAATATAATGTAAGATTTTAATAAATGAAACGATTTTATACTTACTGTCTCAAGAACAGGTGACTGTGGAATAGAACCAAATATGAGTGAAGACATTCTTCTACCGATACCACCAAGCCATCCTTGACTTGTTCTAAGTACTCTGCAAATAACACTACATCTGCCACCCGTGTTTTGTGGTTGCAAAAGTGCAACAGTACAAGTAGTTGTTGCCAGAATACATCCAACACTAGGTACATAAGTCAAACAGTTGACTTCTTGACCTGCTAATTCTGCAATAGTTTCTACTGATAATTCTTCGTTTGCTATACTACCCCAGTAGCGGACAACACCTTCTGGTGAAACTGCCATGCAACATGGCACCTATATCAATTACATAAAAATCTAGAAATTTGAAAAATTGACTTTTTCTGATAAAGTTCTACTTACTTGTTGCCCAGGTGGGAGCCACACAGCGATACATTCAGCTTTGTGAGCCAAATCACTCTGTGGAAGCAGTAGTTCTCTGCACTGGCTTTTGAATATTCTCCTTTGTTTTGGATCAGGTATTGTAGTTTTGCACTGCCAAACAAGTAATCTTCTACCACAAACAAGCCATGCCCAACCATCCGGAGAAACATTGACACTGACCATTGCATTGCGTTCTATGAATGTAAGTGCTTCAGTGACTAAGACTGGTAGTGATGAACCAAAATTTTCTACAATATGGTTTGCTGTTCGACATACCACTTGTATTGACTGATTTGATCTTCCAGAAAGGCTGATTCCACTAAAAAATGTGTCGGGAAATTTGTAATTATGAACAAACCTTTGATATCAATATTAATGTTTTTATAGTCATGCAAAAATATGGATCAAGTAAATATCGCAGTAACTAGACGATATTTTCTAAGAATGCTGTTTAAAATTGACAATAATTTTGGAAAATGAAAACTGGCATATTTCGTTGATAATTCAAACTGCAGTGAACTTACGAGCTGGCTTTTTTCAAAGATTGTACCAAAGACAATCGGCGTCTTGGCGAATTGATACTTTTTGATATTATATTCCAGCTACTCGATCTATCCATTTTGGCAATGTTACAAAGTATTTTTAAAAAAGATATGTAATAATAAAACGTTTGTTGTTGTGCGGTAAATCGCACAACAAATTCCGAAAGGCAAGGTTATAACAGAAGGTTATGATTCGCGTTCGCGCAAATCGGTGATTTGTTTGAAAATCAACCAATCAGACGACGAAAAGTGTGAGCGCGTGCGTATATTATATTTTTATCGCGGAAATTTCAAAATCATTATTCCAAAATATATTTTTCATTTATTGTTACTATAATGACGAAATTTATTTGCAAATGAGAGTGAAAAATATTTAATTGTTTCCACACTATAAAGACCATATTATTAATAAAAATACTGTATGTGTATAAACACCTATACACATACACACACTCGTTTGTATACGCACACAAATATATCTATTATATTAATTGATTTCACTGCCATAATAAATTTTGTAGAAGCATTTATTTTACGTTATTTATTTCGAGTCGAATTCCCCTGATAAGGGTATTTACGACTATTACAGTCCTTTAACAATGATCTTATATAATAAGGATACGTATAAAGGTTATATATATATATGGTTTGTATTATGGTTTATATCGAAAGATTAATTTTCATATTCTATGTGATCCAAATCATTAATGTTATCAAAGCAAGGCTGATGATAAAATGGAGATAAGAATAGCTTAATAGAGAAATGATATAATCATTATAGTTTATAGTTTGACACCTTGTTTGTTGTTAACATCTTATGAAAACTTACAAGTGAATGCTTAACACATTTAAGTAATAATAAATAAACTAAATAAATTATTATTACATTTGACAATTTTCATCATTGAAAAAATGATTGTCTAAGCACTTAATTTATATCAACGTACATGCAAGATTATTGTATAATAACAAATCCGTTTGTATGTTATTTTGCTTGAAGGACTTCGAATCAATTTAAGCTGTTGACTGGGAAGTTAACAATACCCAAATTTCAAATCATTTTATATTTTATAATTGATTCTCATGGACTTTAGTTATCCAAAAGAAATTAATAATTAATAAAATCAGAATTATAATTTTGCTTCACTTCATCTCAGCACACATTGCGCTTATCTACCTTGGTAATTATTCACCTGATTATTAGGCACAGATAACCAAACAATATTTTTAACGTAGCAACACAGAAGAGATAAACATCGGTAAACTGGCTCCAAGCGCAATTTCAACTGATTTCTTAACGTTAGTTTCTTAAATTAGTATCGTAAATTATGCCGAAGTACAACATACTGTCGCTCGAAATTCGGAGTTGGAAATGCGCTCAGTGACGAACCACCAATGCGATGATTCTCCATGGTGCCTGTCATCGAAGGCGAAAGTGTTCGCGAATTAGGACGAAATGTGAAATTGCTTTTGCTCCACGACATCAAAACGGAAGTAATTCGAACCATCAGGTCTAGAATTGCTGCGCATACAGAGAGCGGATTGTGTGGTTTCATTAGGAAACAGAGCTTAAGTTGGAGTCGGAGGGATTGTCGCTTTCTCTTTCCGACATTATCATCCTCAGCCTGTTTCTGTGCGTGTGTCAAGGACAGTTGAAATTGCGAATACACATAGACGCAGTCGTGAAGACGCCACGTACTTTGTGTGATAAACTCGTCGATTTATTGACGCTTTTCACCCTTTTTTTCTTTTGTTTTCACTGTAAATATACTCATTTCACTTTTATGCGAGTAAACAAAATGAAACTAATAAAAAACCTCGAGTTGTTACGATATTTTTCAACTGCGCGTATTGCTAAAATATCCATTAAGAGACCAAAAACTCGATGACTTTCGATCTCGCAGAAAAGCGACTCCCGCTAAGCTTACGCAATGAAAATTAAAAAAGTTTACGTAGACCTTTGTCGTTATCTTGTTATTGGTAAAATTGTTTGCATTGATAGCGTGAAAAGATGCGGGTCAAGTAGAAAGTGTTCCTAGTGACCATTTCCCAGTTTCCATTTATCATGAAAGAATACTGACAGGTGTTATTTGCCGCAATCAATGGAGAGTTTGCGATCGATGACTTCCGATTTGCTCATTTCGACTGCGTTCTAGAACGATATTCTTCAAGTAACCGGAACTGCGACAAAATCCCTCTAGCGGCGTTGATTCAACTTTATGACAGACATGCATGTCATAAAGTTATGAAGCCTGTATCGCAGTGTTGGTAAGTCGAAGGTATTTAAGCGCGTACGAAGAACGGAGCAAATTTCATTTTAAAAGTGTCACTTGTATATCAAGGAAGATAAATACTGCTGATACACGGTGAATCTCGCGAACGACCACACTTACTCGCATTCGGCGTCAAGATGCACAAGTTTCTCTACGTCTCGGCTATCTTTGCCATCGTCTCGATTGGCCAAGTGCAAAGTGACTGCGATACGCAACAGTGTAATGATTTTTGTAATATATTCAATTTAAATGGGGTGTGCGACGGAAACGAATGTAATTGCATTACGGACAAAAATTGTTCGGGAACAATGGAGTTGATATGTACCGATGTCTGCGAAGCATTGAGTCTGGATGGAGAGTGTCAGGATAGTCGGTGCGTCTGCAAAGCTGAGATCGGGTTTTGCGACGGGTTTATCGGCGATTGCCAGGAAAGCTGCGAGAATGATCCGAGAGCCCGAGAGTGTATATTGGTTATGGCGACTGGCTGCGTGAAATATGGCCCAATCGAGATGTGTTCATGTGTTTGTTACACATGGCTCAGCCAAATTATTTACCAAAAGAAGTTAAATTATTTTGTATCGGGTCAAAAGAAACGTCGTCAGTATTATTCTATTTCCACTGTATAATATTAATCAATCACATATAATCAATGTAATCAAATATCACTGTATTTTGCCTTGATTAAACTTTTTCTACACTGTTTTCAACATGATAGTTTCTTGTATTGTAAAAATAATTTTTTTTTCTTTCTCTATAAAGTTACCTACGAGTAGTTTTAGAATTTGATGTAGAAACGACGAAAAATTTAAGTGCTTGAATCCGAATCTTTAAATTATGCCAGAATCACACTGAAGTTGCAGAGATATAATTGCTCATCATTAAGTTAACGTTGTCGAGTTCTTCATTTTACAATCATATTGTGCTTGCATTATTTCATCACCTTTTTTTTGTAAATACCAAAATCCAAAGTCCACTCCTCGCTGAGTTCTAGAATATATACTTATACGAGTCAAAAGAGAAAGTTCACCGAGTACACGGTTTAATTATTTGATTAAATTTCAATTTGCTCCTAACCATGCAGGTAATTTAATGCATTTGTTTTTCTCGAAACCCATTGAAGTTATAGTAATCTTGATGATAATCAATAGCCCAAGAACTAGCCGATGAAGATAAGAAGTCACTTGATAAGAAAACTGAGAGCAAATGAGATACCGTGTAGCACGCACATATTTATATCATAAGCGATAGTGCTCATAAATGCTCGTGCTCTTAGCCATGCTTTTGCAATATCAAAGGTCCCTTTCAATCGTATCTTTCTAAATTAGCTGAAGATTCTCTCGTTACGAATGTTGCTCTCTTCAACTTTGCACATGAACGCTGTTGCATATGTACTTTTCCTACCATCACAATGCGGGCTTAAATGATTGTTGAAATACGTTAAATTTTGTAAAAAAAATTTTGACGAACGTCAGGTGCTGACATAAAACAATATTTTTCACAAATAGCAGCAGTGTAAAAAATAATTATTTCGTAAGCTTAATCCCACAAATTCAAACAAAACGGTTACATGCCGATCGAATGTTACAAAAGTAAAAAAAAAATCGGTGACGAACGCCGAAAGAAATTGCAGGCAAAAAGCCGATTGGAGAAAACCGCCGAATCAAAGCTTTCGTTTTCAAGGAAGCAAGGGCTAGCAGAGCGCTCGAAATCACGAGACGCGCGACACGACGAGGTAGCGAGCGAGGCAACGGTTCGCGCGCGAGCTTACCCGCGACAAAATGAAAGAGTGCTTGGGCCATATCGCTTGGAAAGCCGCGTCCGCGCGAGATTTTCTACCGACGCTCGCAACCCAGTTTTCGCGTGGTCCGGCTTTCGAGCAGTCGCACGTTTGACGAGCGAGACGGCTCGCGCGAAATTAATGGCCTCGCTAAATCTCCGAGTTGTAAATCACGACGTCAGGGGAGGCTCGCTTGCATTTTTAATTAAGCAGAGAGGCCTGCGTGGCGTAGCGAGCGTAACGGCCTAGCTGCTGCATGCGCTTTTCACCTGCTAAAAATAGCCGGCTAATTGTCAGCTCGCGGAGGAGTCGTAGCTTCTCCGCTGCGAGAGCACTTTCTAGTCATTTTTTAAATGTCTCTCGGCTCACCTTTTGACACTTTCGCACGCGAGTACCTTCTTCAGAGGCAGGCTGCCCTTTATCTTTATTCCTCGAGATCGCTTCTTACGTTAAGCCGAGCTTTTAGAAAAAGAAAAAACTTTTTTATTTTTTCTTTTCGCTTTATTTTTCTGTACATAAACGAGATTATGCTCCAGCAACAGAATCGAAGGAATACGCCTAGAAATTTGAATAAACAGCAACTTTCGTCCATTTTTCAAAAGTAAATGGAATACGAAAATTCCATTTACCTTGAGAGCTCTATAATACACCTCCATCACCTTGCCTAGAAAGTGCAGTACAGTATTTATAGTAGTGCAGACTCGACGGGAATTCTTTCAGAAGCAGCATAAACATCTTTACTGTTTTAGAAACTCAACAGCAAATGCAAAATAATGGCATTTTTCAATTGGGTAAAATTAATCGGTCTAGGGCTTGATATTTCTTGCACGTGAAAAAATAAGCCACAAATTTGCATCAGAAAAAAATTATAAGTTACTGTCTCTTGCAATACACGAACGAAATGCGAACATCAAAGCAACGCATGAAGGTAGTTTTCTTTTTGACGCATAAAATGTTGAGAAAACGTAAAAATCGTTTCAATCTCTACTCAACATCACCATATCCGTCGAGGCTCAAGAAAAGCAACGCGCCAAAAAGATTGCGTCACAGCTGAGCCGACGTTAACGAATAAAGCATTAACGTCCAATAGGATCGACGGCTTG